GACATTTTTCTCTGACATGTTTTTCTGTTTTGTTCTGTTCTCTCCTTTCTGCTCCTCTGCTTCTGTCTAGATGTCTTAATCAGGGTTTCAAAGAAGGCAGGGGTGGGGTAGGTCTTTGCCTCTGTACTTATACTTCAACTCAGAGTCTCGCTTAGTCTTGAGCAAGGTGCAAATGAGTCGGGCATGAGGAAGCTCTCTGGATGATGCTGATGGTGAGGGGGAGTGATTTGCAGTCAGGAACTGGCGCTCTCTCTCTCTCTCTCTCTCTCTCTCTCTCTCTCTCTGTGTGTGTGTGTGTGTGTGTGTGTGTGTTTCATTTTCTTTCCTGTGACATGCAGTGTTCCAGGCTGGCAGCATGCTGTGAACAAAGAAAATTGCATTCTCTCATCCTGTTAGATAGGCTGTAACTTGGCAAAGGCTGAAAACAAATCATGCAACCACTTAACCTTTCTTGTGTGACAAAGAAGACCCCCTCCCCCCATTCCACAGGAAGTGCTTCCAGAGTGCACACGAACAAACCCTAATTAAGTCTTTCCTTGGATCCATTTTTTTTCTCCAACCTTTTCTTGGGCTTAGATGTGTAATTAAGAGGGATGTCAAGAGACAATGTTTGTCTTGACAGGAAGAGTTGGGATGTAGCTCAGTTGGTAGCGTACTTGCCTAGCATGCACAGTGTTCCCTGAATTCAGTCCTCAGTATTCGGGTAGGGGTGGGGGAGAAACAAACAAACAAAAAACAAGGAAACAAAATCCAGTCTTTGATTCAGCTGGAGAGCCTGGGGTGTGGTCGGGAGGTAGAGGCACCTGCCTAATGTGGGCAAGGTCTCGGGTTGGATGCCAACCAAACATAGAAGCAAAAAATCAAGCTGATGGGAAAAATTAAGATGCTCTTAATGAAAAAATAACTTGATTGCAATTATAGAACATTCTCTCAGATATTTTGTTTCTTGCCTTTTTTTTTCTCTTTTTGGCTTTTCAAGGCAGGGTTTCTCTATGGCTTTGGAGGCTGTTCTGGAACTAGCTCTAGTAGACCAGGCTGGTCTCGAACCCACAGAGATCTGCCTGCCACTGCCTCCCAAGTGCTGGGATTAAAGATGTGTGCCAACACTGTCCGGCTTGTTTCTTGCATTTTTGTCTTTTTGTCGCTTAGTAGGAGAATGCTAATGTCTTCCAGCCGACACAGTCACACTCACATACTCAAACACACATGCATTCACATTCACACTCAAATACTCACGAACATACATGCAATTCACACTTAAATATACACACATGCATACACATTCCACATACTCACACATTTTTGCATTCACATCCACACTCACATGCTCACATGAATACACATTCACACTCACACATACATACTCACTCATACACCCATGCATATGCATTCACGCACATGAATATGCACTCAACACATATTTTGGTTGAGGATAGAGCATGGGAACAGTGGTGGCCCTTTAGGATTGTATTGCTGAGGGATGTGGTCCTCTTGTGTAAGTAGACCCCATTTGTATGGAGTGTACTTTCCGATGTTTGCTCAGTGATGGACTTGCCTACACTGAGTTTCTCAGAAGCACCCTTGTCCCCCAGCTATGTCTGTATACAGTGTGAACATTTCTGTGCTTTGGGTACTCACCTGGAAAGAGACTTAAGCAATTTATCACATATCCGACAGTTTTAAGATCCACCTCTTTCTCCCAAAGTGCAAGAACCACCAATATTAAAGAGGAGAGAGAAGCAGAGACAAGATCTGGAAGACATAGAGGGTCTATACAATATAGGAGAGCGAGGAGCCCCCCAGGAGGATGTAAGCACATTATGTCTTGGATCAGATGCACCTGACTTCAGTCTCTAACATCTCCATGCACTTAATGTTCTGGATGGGTAACCAGGGGTGTGACTTCTCCATGCTTCAGTTTCTCCTCTGCGAAATGGGATGACAGAGGTGTGGCAAGAATTAGATGAGGTCATCCCCATCGAGTGACTCCCTGCCAATTGTCCTGCTAATCTGATGTGCCTGTAGGCTTCTGTCTCTGCTTGTGTGCGTTTGCATTTTCCTGTCCACCTTACTCCTCTTCCAGGCCAATTGCAGGCCCCACAAGGATCTGCTAGCATTGTTCCTTAGTTGAATGTTTTTTTTTCCCCCCCCAGCTCCTCCAGGGCCCATTTGCTGGCCAGGTTCAGTGACTCTTTGCACTTTTTACTCCAGTGTAGGGAGCATTATGGGCTAGAAGACACTAAGCCAGCTCAGCTTGGGAAGGAGAGACCAAATGAGCCCTAGGACAGGGTCAGCAGTGCTCTCTTAATAGCCGCCTCGGAAGCTTTGGCGCTGGCCTTCTTTCCTTTTGTATTTCTCACAACAGGCCAGAAGATGGGGCTCTTGACCTGAAGTCAAGGGCCAGAGGCACTGCTTCCATACCTGAACTGGAAGGGAAGTCAGATCCACCAGGGTTCCTGGAAACTACATCTCTTGCCCTATCCTCCCCCTCTTACTGTGGCTGAGGCCTGTCTTATGGATCAGGGAGGCATTCAGGCACATCCTCTTTTTGGTCACCACCTCTGGCCTCTCTTGAATTATGACATAGCCAGGGCCAGTCTAATGGACTCCTGGCTTCAGGCTTGTCCTATACTCCACCCTGCCCTCCTCTGGCAGATTTCTTAAGACAGTGTGGCACATTGTCCAGGGCCAGCCAGGCTCATCTCGACTCATCTGTCTCATCAGGCTGTCCTCAGCTCCACAAAGAATCGTCCCCTGTCACATGACCAGGTTCCTGCTGTCACATAGCCTTGACGTTTCCTTCACATTGGCTGTCATAAGTTGCAATTGACTACTCAATTCCTGCCGTCTCTCTAAATTCTAAGACCCAAGGGGGCAAGCTTTTCTCATTGCTGATTCCCCTGCACCAGACACCCAGGGCTGGGTACAAGGGATCTCAGCAAAGCCATTTTAATCAACAAATGATGATGACGGCCTGACCTGGACATTGTTTAGTTTTGTTTCTCTGTGACTCAGCTTTCTCTCTCTCGGGAGTGAAATAGAGATGCATGACTACTGCAATGAATGACACATTTTGTGTCATTAGGTCCTGTCTCTGTGGAGGGGCTCCCTAAAACCTTTAACGGCCTGATTTTTTTTATTATACAAGGGAAACAAAGTCTGAACTCATTGTCCAGCGCTCCACAGGCCTGCACTTTTCGGCATCACTCTCTGTGTTAGCTCGATGGTGGCTACTCCACATGTGCTACCACTCTTTTTTTTTTTTTTTTTTTTTTTTTGGTTTTACGAGACAGGGTTTCTCTGTATTATTTTGGAGGCTGTCAGTCCAGCCTAGCCTCGAACTCACAGAGATCCGCCTGCCTCTGCCTCCTGAGTGCTGGGATTAAAGGCGTGCGCCACCATTGCCCGGAGTGCTACCACTCTTAAACCCTTGCTTTCCCAGCCTTGAGGCGATTGTTGCTCTCTTCATTTTGGCTTGATCAAATGTGTGATGTGTGTGCAGAGGCCCGAGGACAGCTTGCAAGAGTTGGTTTTCTTTTCATTTCATGTAGGTCCTATGGATCAAACTCAGATGATAAGACTCAGTGACAACTGCCTTCACTGACTGGACCTCGATACATTTATAAGTAGACTGAAATAAATGTACATATATTCACAATCGTCCAGATGCGGAGCATCCTTTGAGGTTATGTGGAGTACAGACGCACAAGAAAAAAAACCATCGTTGCCCTCTCTGCGTTATTCTCACCAGATCTGGAGCTCATCATGGGCTAGTGTAGGACTGGTCTAGACTGGATGACTAGCAAGCTCCAGACCTTACTGCGTCTCTACCCTCCCCAGCACTGTGGTTACAAGCCTTTGCCACCAGACCCAGCCTTTCCTCGGGTTCTGGGCATTGGACTCAGGTCCTTACACTTACATAGGAGGGACTTCATAGTCAGAGTCTCTCCCCAGCTCTAGAATCACAGTTCAGTTTCAGGGACATCAAGGCTCAGTTTTGTTTCCAGTTTTGGTGACAGTAAAAAGGATGATATGCAGAAGCTGATTTTTTTTTTTTTTTGAGATAGGGCATCATGGCGAAGTCCAACTTGGCCTTAAACCTGCTGCTAGCTTGTTTTAGCCTTCGGAGAGCTAGGTGATAGGCACACCACCATAAGGGTTGGGCTTTGACTTGCCATATTCCCATCTGCAGTTTTGGCAGAGGCTGACAGTGATTTGCAGTGAAAGGGTCCCTTTCCCCCTAACTGTGTGGACTCACTTCCAGTCTTAGGAGATAGGGCATGTAAGACAAAGGTCCTTTCTTTCTCTTTCTTAAGCCATGGAGGGTTAACTAAATACTTTGTGTTTTTTTGTTTTTTGTTTTTTGGTTTTTTTTTTTTTTGTAAAACCAGATGAGATCGAATGCATTACTCAACGTTGTCCGACCTTGCCTCATCTGTTCTGCTGTTAGAGAATAATTTGTCTTAAGGAGTTTTGTTTGTTTGTTTTCCAGTTGAAACCATCCTAGGCTCAAACTCCACGGTCTTCTGTCGTCAATCTTAGAGACAGGGAGGCCTAAGTCTCATAGCCGGTGGAGGGGCCTGCTTGCCGTCTGTCTGTTGCCCTTTAACACTTCAATCTGGAGACTAGCTCGAGGGTTAACAAGCAATTTCAGAAGTCCCTCTCTTCTCATCATTGCTTCTTCCTGCCATCTTTGTTTCTGAGACAGATTTTCTCCTGATAAATAAAATCAGAATAGGCAAATCCGACACTTTCCCTCAAGTTAGGTGCAACTGCAAACACAGGCAGTAATTTTCGCCCCTAGCAAGCAGTTGGAAGGACCTCTGAGCCCGGAGACCTCTCCCTCCCTAGGGGAGGAGGGCGGGAGGCGGTTTCCAAGGCAACCGGCCCAGGGAGAGGTTGGCTCTCTGGCGCCCTCCTCCCCTCTTCCTGGTAGCCCAGGGTACCGCCGGACAGCGTCCTCCCGTGCTCCGCGCCCTGATTGGCTGCTCGGGCCACTCTCTGATTGGCTGCGGTGGGCGCCTCGCCGGCTGGTGGCTATGCAGGTGGCGCCGGTGGATGGTTGACCATTGGCTTTAGGGTTGGGGTCGCCGCGTGTACGATCGGCTCACACAGGACCAGAGGGCGCGGACTGCTGCAGCTCAACCTGGAACCCACCGGCGAACCCAGGCTCCGCCCGGCCATGCCCGCCGGGAGCAACGAGCCGGACGGCGTCCTCAGCTATCAGGTGGGCCCCGCCTCCCGCTCCTCCCCGGCTCAGCCCGGATCGGTTGCCCACCGCCCGGCTCCTGCTCCAGCGGGGGTTCAGGCGTGTCCCCGAGGGTCGGGAAGGTCCGCGTGAGACGCCAGGGGGCGCTCCGGGCAGCTGGGGAGGGTGACCTTGGGCCGAGCCCAGAGCCCCTAGCACCGCGGCATCCCCAGCATCGCCTGATGCCCGGTGTCCTGGAGCAGTGACCTCTGTTCGCGGGTCCCCTTTGGCAGCAGACGCCGGCCTCTGGCCTTGCCTCGTTCTACCACACCTATAGGTGGACGAGAGGCTATCCAGGGACCTTTGTGGGTCTTTGTGTTTTTATTCTGGTTCCTCAGTGGCTCAGAGGAAGCCTTGCAAAGACCGGGAGGCTGAGAACAGCCCCTGAGAATGTGGCCGGCTTTGTGTATCCCCGCCCTGCTGCTCAGACAGCTGATAAGTTCTGGGTAGGGATGTACATGGACCAGGGAAGCGGTGAGGGGTAGTTGATACTTGAACTGCAGGGGCGGCTGATATTAGGAAGCATTGGACTTGGTATTAACAGTCTGCGGGTTCAAATCTCAGTTTGTTTCTCATAGGCTTCCTGACCTTGTGCAAGCTGCTTGCCTTTTTGAACCTCGATTTTCCCATTATTAAAATGGAAATAGTAGTATTTGTACTGTTTACTTCACAGGGCTGTTTTAAGATCTCTGTGAAACATGGCTTATTGTGTGATCCCTAGTAGGTGAGTAGTAGCTTTTTGGACTCTCACCTTCCCTCACCCCCACGTTCTTGTGAAATCCCCATCAGCTGTGGTTGCTGTCTTGAAAAGAGGGTTAAAGGAGAGAAGGGAACCTGTACAAGTGCTGTTGCAGGAAGGGTGATGGGTCTTGGAAGCCATGTTGACATTAGGAGTGGGGTCTGGGCAGAGGCAGGAAAACTTCCTGAGTGTAGTGCAATGGGTGTGACACTCTTTATTCCTCTTCCTGGCAGTAGTCTTTCCTTGTCAGCCACCAAAATAATAGATTTGAGATTTTGGGGAAATCTTTCCATATCTGATCTCATGACATGCGATGTTATAGTCAACTTCTGTTTGGGAAACACGGAACAGAAAGAAGTCACAGTCTTTCCTCTCCCAGCTGGTGGGAAAGGAGGAGAATTAGTTTTTCTGTTTTGCCGTTGGTGGTGCTGGGGATGGCCTGCCTCCTAACTTGCTAGGCAGACACTCTATCACTGAGACATATCCCCAGCCTGAAGTAAGAAGTGTGTGTGTGTTTGTGTGTGTGGCCAGACTTTGTTATCTGGTGTCTTTATCACTCTACCTTTATTTATTCCATTACCTATCTATCTATCTATCTATTTATTTTTTTATTTTTTGGTTTTTTGAGACAGGCTTTCTCTGTATTGTTTTGGAACTCTCTCGGTAGACCAGGCCTACCTTTATTTATTGAAACACATTCTTGCACTGAACCTGGAGCTTGCCATTTTAGCTGGCTAGTGAGCCCTGGGATCTGCCTGTCTCCTCCCCACCCTCTGGTGCTGGAGTTGCCGACAAGCACTGCCATGCTAGCTTCTTACATGGGTGCTGGGGGGTCTGAATTCAGGTCTCCATGCTGTTCAGCAAGCTCTTTACCCAGGGAGCCATCTTCATTTCATACAAAATACCGTAGTCCCATTACTTGGAGCCTGAGGCAGGAGGATCGTGTGTTTGGGGTTAACACAGATTACACAATGAGACCCTGCCTCAAAAAATCTGCACGAAGGAAATGTGTTGTTGTAAACTCAGGTGCTTTGGCAGCGTCTCAGACGGTCCTATGAGGGCGTCCATGACTCAGGCCACAGAAGGTGTTTCTAAGAAGAAAATTTGGGCAAAGATATGAAGAGTGAATATCACCGAATGAAAGGGGAGGTCAAAGAACTTGGGAACAGAGAACAGGATGTACAAAAGTCCCGTGGCAGCTGTGGGGCACGCTCTGCAAGGACAGGATGGTAGAGCCACAGAGAGCAATGAGGAAATGGTGAACTGTGTTCTGGACTCGGGACACGGCGAGACAGTGTGGCCCCCACTGAAGAAGCTGGTATTTTTCTGAGGTCCAAGAGCAGTCATTGGTGAGCTCTAAGCAAATGAGGGGAAGGTGAGACCCGAGAGGCACAAGGTGAGGTCCTGATCAGATGTCCTCTCCTGAAAGGTTTCTCTGGCTGCTGAGGGCCCTTAGGCTGGAATGGGTGAGGAGACCCCATGTTTGACATGCAGAGTGTGTGCAGGTTATATTGAGTACATAGTCACCGTTCGGTTCTGTTAATGGTCTGTGGTTTGTGTTTCTGGACAGACGATAGTATGCTCTTTACATTAAGCTAAGACGCTTTGTGGGTGGAGAGAGAGAAGAGAGGGAATAGCAGGCTCTGGTGAAGTCAGGCATCAGACGTAGGAAGTGCAGATTTAGGGAGGGAAAGAGAATGGGGCCTGAAAGGGGAAAGGAAATGGGAATGGCTGGGAGGAGACAGTTAACCAGTGGACAGTGACCTTAGTGACCAAGCTTCCTGTGTGTCAACTTGAGAGAGCTGGACCTTGCAAAATGAGTAGATTGTGTGACTTGATAGGAGCACAGAGGCTCCAGACATGACATCCCCACATCATAAGACCAGACTGCTTTGTCAGGGATGGACTCCTGCCCTGCCCTCCCGACTCTACTCTGCAGCCATTCTCCACCATGCAGCCTGCAGGCGTTTAGAAATGCAAGCCACATCGTGTCATGGCCTCACTGAAGCCTGTCAATGGCTTCTTGGTTCATTTTGGAATAAATCCAAACTCTGCCATGGCCTACCAAGGTTTGACGTGATCACGGCTGTGCCTACCCTTCCTGGATTCCTCCACTCTCTCCCTGTGCACACCAACTTGGACTTGCTTTGTGTTTCTCTGGTATGACAAACTCCTCCACAGCTCGGGAATGTGTCCTCTTTCTAGGACACTCTTGGTCTCTTCATGACTCATTCGTATATCTCCCGAAGACTGGCTTCCCTTGACCTCCACTCTGAGTCACACTCCTCCATAGGATCCTCTTTGTGTTTCTCCCTAGCACACTGTGTGTGAGAGGATGTCCTGTTATCTTCTGAGGTAGAAGTTTCAGAAGGTCAGGGATTTGGCAGACGATCCTGTCTCACATAATGTCTAGTGTTCAGTTAGTGTACAGCTACTGAGTAAGAGAATGACTTGTGGGTCTGAGGCTGAGGTGTTTCTCTTAGGAGCTCACAGTATACAAGGCAGGATTTGCATGAAGCAGTGGACGGCAGTTAGTGACTCACACATAAGCTCTCCCTTCTTTGATACCGTACCTTTGCTCAGGTCAGCAAACTGCAGGATCCTCCCTCCTTTTCTCTGAGGAAGTTCCATTCCGACCTTCAGGGCTGGTCCCATGTAGCTCCACCAGAATTTACCACTTAGTCTCCCCTGCTCACACCACCTGCCAAGTGCTGTCATGCCTTCACCCTTGCTGGGCCACACAGGCTCGCTTCTGCCACTGAGCTGGTACAGCCCTTCATTATTGTGTTAGCAATGAGTGTTTTCCGTATGCCAGGCCCCGTGCTGGGTGCTTGCCATGTATTCTCAGGCTGAGGATTGCACCCACACCTCACGTGTGATAGGCAAGCACCGTGTCACTTGACTGGACCGGACCTCCTAGCCTCATATCCCGGTTAACTTTTTCTGTAGCCCTGAGAATTATGCACCTCTATTGTTTCTACTTCACGGATAAAGAAACAGAAATGTGAGGTGACGTGACTTCTAGAAAGGGCAGAGCTCCTCTCTCTAAAGGGTGCGCCCTCAACCACTGTGCATTACCACAGCTGTAGCCTTGCCATCTAGAGCAGCACCTGTCCCTGAGTGAGCATCGGAGGTGCTCGGGAAAGTGTATAGGAATGTGTCAGAGTGCAGCTGACTGGAGTGAGGGAGGCCCACCCGAGGCTGCTGGCATGATGTAGGCGCCTGCATCATCCCTGTCCTTTAACGTAACCTGCATCATCCATCTCTGTTAGGGTGGCCGGCATCATCCACTTCCGTTAACGTGGCCAGCATCATCATCCACCTCTGTTGACATGACCTGCATTATCCACTTCTGTTGATGTGGTCTGCATCATTCATCTCTGTTAACGTGGCCCACATCATCCACTTCTGTTAACGTAATCTGCATCATCCATCTCTGTTAACATGGACTTCATCACCCACCTTGCTAAGCTCTCTGAGGTATCACTGACATTTTAGAAATGAGCTCTTAAAAGGGGATACCAATAGGGGAGGGCAACCAGACAGCTTTAGGGAAAGCCCCTGCTTTGTGTTGGAACATTTTACAGCCATACAGTTCTGCTGATCGGCACTTTCAGAACTGACCAGAAGGGAGTGCTGGGGGGTTGGTCACCACAGTGTCTGAGTAAGGTAGTGCTGGGCATCCCTGGGATGTCCAGGGAGCATGGAGACAGTGACGATGGAAGTAAGGAAACTTGGCTTTTATCTACATCAGCCCTGGAACACTTTGTAGAAATTGTTAGAGTACCAAACCCAAACCCTGGAGTTGGGCATAGGAGCAAATGAACTGTGATCCTTGGAGCTTGGAAGGAAGGAGCAAGAGAGTTAGGTCAAAGCCAGGGAGATGACACAATGGATGGAGCACTTCTGGACAAGTGTGACCATTGAGTTTCAACTGTGGGACCCATATACAGGTGGAAGGAAGGACAGACTCCACAGAGTTGTCTTGTGACTTCAATAGATGTACCGTGGCAAACCCATGCCCCCCCACGCATGCACGCACAAATGAGCATGCACACACACACATATGCACACATATGTGGTAATACTTAAAAAAAAGATGGATCAGCAGTTAAGATCACTGGCTGCTCTTACAGAGCACCCTGGTTCAATTCCCAGCACCCACATGGTGGCATATAACCATAACTCCAGTTCCAGGGGCTCTGATGCCCTCTTCTGAAACCAGGGACACAAGTGGTGT